CAATCCTGACTCTGGTTCTCTTTTCTACAGGTGATCCTTCCTACAGAGGCGCTGGGCTAGGAGTGTCCCTCTGTAGGAGCAGGTCCATAGTGATCGGGAAGGTGCCAAGGAAGATGACATAAATTGAGAAATGCCCTGAACCCCTACTTGCTGGGGTTCTTGTTCCGGCATTAAGAAGGGTTCAGCAATCTGGAAAAGGGGCTGTGCATAACTCAGAGTCCAGTGACGAAATATAATTTTGAAAGGCATTTGGGGGTCAGGGGAGCTTAGCTAAAAGGAACTAAGTTCTCCTCATCTCAGGACCCCATGTTTTTAGGAACACAAATTGTCCTGAGGCTAGGTGGAGATATACACTTCAAAGGGTCAGGGTTTAGTATACAGAGTCCATTGTCAGAATGGAAGAATTAGCGTATGGCTGTTCAGGTGTTTGGCTAGTAGGAGGCAATAACATGTAGATTAAGATGCCCTGAGCTGTCTGGCAGCAAACAATCATCCCTTTTCAGGTTTGGGGAAATGCCCTCAGCCATTCCCAACAGGTGACAATATATGTGACTCAGCCCTTGTTGAGTCCCCAAGTTCCATCGACCTTTTGATGAAACTCTTGCAATTATGACATGCTAAAATTGGCTTCTGGCATCTCACCCTTTTTGATTATTTAAATTTAACAAGAATGTATGTTTTAAGATTTTTAAATTCAATGGAAGGGACAGAGTTCTATCATGTCCCTTTAAATTGCTGCCAGGCACTAAAGAAATCAGTTTGCAATAAGTTTCTTTATGGGCCAACAGTTTTTTGAGTCCCAATTTCAATGTCTAGTACTTTCTTATATGTACATGTCAGCAATGATATTTTAGTTCTGGATTTATTTAAAAGGGTATTACTTAATTTTTAAACATTTGGAGATTTTCCAGTTCTCTTTTATTTTTTAGCTCAATTCCACTGTGACTGGATGACAAATTCTGCATAATTTTAATTCTTTAAAATTTGTTGAGACTTGCCTTGGAGCCTTGTATGTGGTCACATTTTGTGAGTGTTCCATATGCATATGTAAAGAATGCATTGTCGGGTCCATTGTTCAAAGTATGTCCATTTAGTTATCACTGATTGTTTATCAATGAAATAACAATATTATTTTACAACGAAGAAATATAATAACCTGAGAAGAATCTTGTCACAAAGAAAAATTAAATTATTAAGTGTAATAGAATTTATTTTATTTTAAATCTTTTTACCTAGACTGCTATTTTTCATATATGCCAAAAAATATTTATTCTGCATAAAATGCTAGCAACAGTAATAGCAATTAACTATAATATATGTTACTTTAAACATAAATGTGTGCCCTAGCTGGTTTCGCTCAGCAGCTAGAGTGTCGGCCTGCAGACCAAAGGGTCCCTGGTTCAATTCTGGTCAAGGGCACATACCTTGCTTGCAAACTCCTACGTGGCCTGGGCCCTGATGAGGGCTCATGCAGAAGGCAACCAATCCATGTGTTTCTCTTACATTGATGTTTCTCTCTCTGTCTTTCCCTCTCTCTTCCACTCTTCCTAAAAATCAATGAAAAAATATCCTCAGGTGAGAATTAACACCAACAAAAGAAAAATAATAATAATAATTAACAAAAATAATGGAAAACACTTAAATAAAAATAAATGCTTCAGTTTTCGTCTTAAATACTAGTAACGAATAAACATAGGGGCCAAATTTACTTGTATTGTTATATCCTCCTGAATATTGATTAAGTAATTTGTAAACAAATGTAGTGGACATTATGTGAAGTGGAGAATTAACAGCAGTAAATTATTGAAATGTATAAAGTCTAATTGTGTAAATATTTGCATAATATTTTTCAGTCCAAAATTACATGTATGTGTGTGTGTATGTATGTCTTGCATGAAACTGTTTTATGGAAAACTGATTAATCAATGAGGCAAATCCAGACATCTGGTTATTTTTTTAATTATCCTCTTAAATATAATTTAAATATGTGATGTGAATTTACTAGTACATGTAAATATAGGTATACAAATGAATATTTCTATCATATAGACATAATTTCCCATGACTATAAACTCTGTCATCTCACTTTCCTTCCTGCTTTGAAAACCCCTGGAACCTTAAGAGGAAAATAAATAAAATGATTTTATTTCCTCCCTTCCCTGGAGTGGATGGTGTGAGATTTTCCAACATGTATGGGACTGTGGTGTGATTTCTGTCTCTGGGCTTATGCCCTCTTGTTTTGTAATCAAATTCAGGAGACAAGCTATTTCCAGTTCATACTTAAGATAAATCTCTACTTACCACCAGAAACTGAAGCAAATAAAATGAAATATACCATTTGGTATAATAAAATCATCCTACAAAAAGAAAAAATGTGCATGTTTTAGAACACAAAATATGAATTTCTAATTAGTTTGCTGACATGGTGGGGGGGTGTTACTTTAAATAGAGAGAGAGAGGTGTACTTACTTTAACAATGTTCACAGGGTTCCTATCATAATGCTGACCTTTATCTTCCCCAGAGCCCAGAACACTCCTCAGCAGGGTTGTGTGCAGTGCTCAACACTTCATAGTTCTGAAGAACCCAGGACTCCCCTCCTCTCTCCCCCTCCTCACCTCCATCCCTAGCTCACTCTTCATCATATATTCTTTTTAAAAAATATATATTTTATTGATTTTTTACAGAGAGGAAGGGAGAGGATAGAGAGTTAGAAACATCAATGAGAGAGAAGCATCGATCAGCTGCCTCCTGCACACCCCCTACTGGGGATGTGCCTGCAACCAAGGTACATGTCCTTGACCGGAATCGAACCTGGGACCCTTCAGTCTCCAGCCCGACGCTCTATCCAGTGAGCCAAACCAGCTAGGACTTCATCATATATTCTTATTGTCATTGCCTGACCCCTTTCCCCACCCCAATTTTTTCATTTTTATCTTCTCTTCCAAGCCATTTCCTTTCCATCTTTGGAGTCTTTCTCTGTAGCTATCAAAGTAGATGATTTTTCTACTTATGTTTTCTATTTTTTAAATTCCATTGCAAATAGATGACTAGGTTGTCTTGATCACCTACATGAAGGTACTTAACCCCATGAAGCACTGAACTGTGAAAACTGTCAGTGAGATAAATTAAGACTTCTGATTTTTAGTGTTGCTCTTGAATATCATTTTAATTTGTAAAATACTTGTATTGAGTATTAACTATTACAGTTATTTCATTTTGTATCTCCTCTCAAGTTGGTTATGGATATTAAGTAAAATCTTCTGAAATGTTACATCAGACATCTTTTAAAAATCAATCATTTTCTACTACAATTTTTAAAACCCCTGTGGTAGAAAAAGGCACTTCAAGGAATAATTGCTTGATAGAAATCATAAATAATCATTTTTGAAACCATACCTGAAAAAACGTTGTTTGATGTGATGAAATTCTTAATAAAAGTGTTTGTCTTCTTGAAATTTCCCATGTGCCCTAGCAGCTGGGCAATCTCACATTTGGTATGCCTGCTAGTCCAAGCTTTATTTAACCACACTTTCAAGTGGCCACTCTTAAGAATTAATTCAAGGCTAATTTGAGTTTCCCAGAGTAAAAAGAAAACAGGGGCAGTCTGTGAATGGAACATCAGCTGTTGTGAGGTACCCTCCTCTTCTGGATTCACTTTCCCTTTTTATAATGTTACCTCCTCAGAGGTCTTTGCAGATACAATTAGTTCTGAGGAGCCAAACTCTTTTTTTATCCCACTTGCAAATATTAAAAGTCTAAATTAAATAAAAAATTTTAAAAAACACAACAAAATATGGGACTTTCATAGCTTTCTTTGGATCTAGGATCACTGAGACACAAATGGAGATCTAGGGAATGCCATGTCTAGCTGCTGCATTACAAGCAATAAAAAAGTATATCACAGAGGAGGGGCCAAGATAGTGGTATAGATAAACACAATACTCACATTCTCTCAGAACCACATCAAAATTACAACTAAACCACAGAATAACCATAATTCAGAACCACCTGAA